AATGGTATGGGGCTGTATGTCCTATGATGGGCCCAGGTTCATGTGTAAAATTGAGGGGCGCATGGATGGGCAGCTGTACCGCTCGATCCTGCAGGACGAGCTCTCTCAAACGATCGATTATTACTCTCTGACAGCATCTGATGTGATTTTCCAGCATGATAATGATCCAAAGCACAAGAGTAAACTTGTGCAGGAGTTTCTCTCTGAGCAGCCATACGCAGTCCTGCTGTGGCCTTCCTCCTCCCCTGGCCTTAATCCCATTGAACACCTTTGGGATCACCTCAAACGTGAGCTTGCAAAGTATGAACCCCCCCCCCACAGGCATGCTGCAGACTTGGGAGCGTGTGCAGGAGACTTGGGAGGGGATCTCCGCTGATGTTTGTAGGGGACTGATAGATAGCATGCCCAGGAGGATTAAGGCTGTTGTTAGGGCAAAGGGGATATGGACTCGTTACTAATTCATGACACTGCAATGCCTTGTTTGATTTGGGAACAAACTGTCCGAATGTACCCTGTATAATTCTGCCTTCACAACTTCTATTTTACTAGTCTTAAATGGGCACGTGGCTGCAGCAAAGATGTAATAGGCCATTTGTCTACCAACCTCAAATGGCCAGGATAACTCTACACTCCTAATATTCATGTTTTATGCATTTTACTTACAAAAAGGGCCAACATGCGGACACTTTGTTCCGTCCTTGTATTTTGTAAGTGCAACACCCATGTACACACCCGGCCAATGAAAACAGTCGCAACCATTAGAAATCTTGTGTTCCACTTCAATGCGCTCCTGAGTGGACGACGACCAGTTTGTCAACTTATACATATGCTTATATGTAGAAAATTTAGGCTAGATAGGCATTGTGTTACGATGTTGGCTAGCTGGGAAGAGGACTCCGTGGAATGGCGTCAGGGTTTAGCTAGGAACTAGGAGAGAAAGTTGACGAGAGAAAAGAGATCGAGAATAGAAGAGAGGGATACAAGGAGGGGGGTTGTACCCTGTACAGTAGGTTTCAATAACACCTACCAAGCCTACCAAATATATAACAAAGATATAATTTAACACACCTCCTAGGCTTGGTAGTAGAAAAACCCACACACACCCACACCCCCATTCCCAGCAGCCATGACTACTCCAGCAGGGCCAACCCCATGGCCCGTGAGATGGCGACGACGGCAGCGGCGGCAGTGACGACAGCAGTGGCGGCGGCGGCGTACGGTGGCAATAGCCCAGCGGCGACAGCGGCGGCCTCTTCGATTACAGTGGCGGCGGCAGCGGCCCCTTCCCGTTCGGCGGTGTGGCCAAGCTCCGCGACAGTGGGCCAAGCTCCGCGGCCAGCGGGAGTCAGGCGTCGGCTGTGGCGAGAAGGAGGGGACGCAGGGGAAGGAGGAGGGGGGGGGAGGGGAGGGGGGGGGGGGGGTCGAGTGGTCCAGCATCACGCCCGTGGCTGGCGTGGAAGCGTGGAGAGCAGGCCCAGGAAGGGCAACCTGCTCTGAAACCATGTTACGATGTTGGCAAGTTAGGAAGAGAAGACGCCATGGAATGGTGTGAGGGTTTAGCTAGGAACTAGGAGAGAAAGTTGACGAGAGAAAAGAGATCGAGAATAGGAGAGAGAGGGATACAAGCAGAGCCTCATTCGATCCTGTGACACTTGGTAATCAGAGCCAAGGTTTCAAATCCACGCTTAACCGCTGGGCCCCCAGGGGCACGCCGAGGAAGGTGTCGAAACTTCAGTTCATATTAAGTTTCGACTAACCTCGCACAGTTGGACCTGGGGTCCCTTCGAAGGCGAGATGCCTTGCCAACCGTTCGATGGAGTGCATCGACCTCGCGAACGCGTCAGTTCTCGTGGAACACTCCCTGCAACATTCTGAAATGTTCGCAGTTCGCCACGACTCTTGGAGTTGTGCGGAAATGTGCAGAGCTGCGACCGACGACATCCGTCCAATGGAGATTCGACGCTTCAGATCTTCCGAGGCGAAAACGACATCCTTCTGAACGACTTCGGGTTTCAGCGCGCATGGGAACAGGACCTCGCAAGACGCAAAATTCTTCGGACCGTTCGATCGTTCGACAGCCGGCATCGACGACCAAGAATTGCTGCAAGAAACGAGTCAACCTGGGCACCGAAAGCTGCTGAGCGCGACTCAGGGAAATCTTTCGATCGCTTGGAGTTTGGACCGTCGGATTGACTTCTACTTCAACAGACGAGATGGAGTGCGACTTTTGCACAAAGGGAGAATGATGCGCAGAACCATGAATCAGCCGCCTTTGACACCGTTTTCTTCATATGGACAACCAAATTCGGATTCCTCCATTTGGTTTTGAATATGGTGCGATTATCATCTGCCAAGTCAGAAATCTGCCAAAGAATTACCTACTTAGTAATAGCTGCAACCAGAAAACTGACAGGAGAACGTGGATCATCAGATCGGTGCAGAATCAACGGCACGAATGCAGCGGAGACTACACTATGAAATCGCATCATCAAAGAGACAA